CTGTGCATGTTTGAGATCCCTAACAGTAGGGTAACTGAGAAAAATGCTAAGTGGATCTTTTCTCTCCTTGCACACTGTGCAAACTGAATCACCAGTACCAGTAGTCAAAATTAGCCTTGGAGCATGTCCTAAAAAACGATTTTTTGTTGCTAGATCTAAGAAATAAGTCAAGCTTTAATTATGCTTATTTATATAAGCTTATATCATTCAGCAATTGTTAAGTGAAGCTTATATTTAATTTCAGTATTGGAATCAGAATATGCTCATAAACTCAATGTTTTTAAGACAGAACAGTCACCAAAAAGTCCCTGTAGAAGTAGGTTGGGAAACTACTATTTTCGGACATTCAAATAGCAAATGATTGTTGTCTGATAGGCAATAAGGTGCTTTGGGTTTGAATCCTTCAAATGAAAGTATGTGTGTCATGACCAGTTCGTGAGTCAACATTTTCTTATCAATATGACCTCAGAATTTTAGTCATCAAATTTAAATATGTAAATAAACATTACAAGAGCTACAAATTCAACTTTAAAACCAGTTTATCATAGTTTTAACCTAAATACTGTACAGGTTAAAGAGTCTTGTTGCCACTGACTTCAGGTCAATTATCATGACATTGTTATAACTTAATACCTTAAACTGCTTTCAGTTTGAACAAAAGATTCAAGTGCTATGCTTTAATCAAAATTGTTTTATCAATTTTTTCTTCCTCAACCCAAGACTGTCCATGTCCATGTCTTTCTTAAAAGTCAAAAAAACAATATTGAATATTATTTAGTAGCATTTAAGATCCAAAAAGAGCTTTATTTCAGCTATCTGTAATACTTTTCAGATTGAAATCTGAAGTATGGTTCCTTTGTACAAGTCAACGACAAGAACACTAGTACTTCTACAGAGAAGTGTAATATCATTATAATATAATATAATAGTAGTAGTATTAGAAGCTTATAAAGAGTACAAAATTCTGAATTGCATCTTAATATCAGTAATTTTGCAAGAGAAATTGTTAAATGTCTGATACATCCTACATAAAGATATCATGACAGTACTTCTTATAACAAGCCAAGAACTAATGTCTATTTTGCATACCTATGTATAGCCAGGCATACTTTTAATTTCAATTCCAAATGTCACCCTGAAGTAAAATTTTTGAATTGCCTGTAACCGAAACTTTCACTAAAATCTAATGAATGGGCATAAGGTCAGACAAGGATTTGACATGTCTATGGCAATATTGCATGCAAGAATCTCCTGACCTGAATAATTATTAAAGTTATTCATTCCAACCAAACACAATATCAATATGACTAAGAGTAGATACTCCACACCTGACACGATTATAATTTTTAATAGGCATAGTGACCACTGATACTTTCTGTATCTTTCAATCACTTCCATTATTCTCTATAATCAAACAAAATTGTGTCGGTCAGACGGTCAAGACACTCTAACCTTACAGCCATTGTACATTTCATAGATAAAATTCCATTCATTCATTCATTCTGATATCATGTAGCTATTTGTAGCTACGTCTACGTAGTTCAGGAAGACTCAGACTGCACAAGAAGTTTTGGTTTTGTATCGTCAGGATAATAAACAGTTCTTGGACGTCTGGATAGGCTAACCAAATTTGTCATTTAGCCTGTAAAAGGGACAAAACACTCACCTATCTCAATATTATTCCATTACTCTGAAATTTGTTACAATTTACGTAAAATTATAAGAATATTTCCAGACAAAATTCCTCACAATAAATCGGTTATGTTATGATGGCCGATGACTAATTTGCGCATGCGCAAAACATTTCAGGTATGTTTGTTGGCGAACGGCACTTATTTTTGATTTTCGATACTAAAATCACTTTTTCTATGATAACTGTAGACACAAAACAATTCAGGTAAGAATAACAAATATGCACAGAATGGTCTTTTACTGTCTAATACGTTTCAAATCTAAAGTGTAACGTGATACACTTTTAAGCCATAATCGATATTGTGGTTTCAATTTTACACTCGGATTTATCAACATGATTAATTGCAGAATCAAACAGCTCAATTCGCACCTTTCTATTGGACCACAGGGGTCCGATATTAATAGCTAATTTAAACCTTATTCGTGGTTATAATTGGATTTATTTACAAAAAGGATATAAATTAAATTATTAACAGCATGAGCAAACCCTGAAGTTTGATTTTTTTTTTTAAATATTGCAATAAAACAACCAGGTAGGCTAATCCGTTAAGTTGCACTTAGTTTTTCGGTGTTAGCTAATCGTGTGCGCATATAGGAAGGCCATGCGACCTCATTGATCTCAAAAAGTGTCCCAAGTACCCGTTGACTTTGCGGCTCATTTTATCGGGGTTATTTATCAAAGCGGCCACATAGTCTACTCATGATGGGCAATTGACTCTAAGGCCATTTCCCGCTGGCCAAAATATGTCGTTGGCCGACCATCGTGTCAAAGGCCAGGCTTCGCAATTTTCGAGCGTTGAATTTGGATCTTAAAAATAGTCTTCAGAAGTGCTAGAACTACGAGGCTTCAAAGTTCAAATATACGTAAACTAGAAATTTAACTTTCTTTTTCTATTATGTCTATGACGGAGCCTCAAGAAAAAACGAGCCGTCATTTTAATTTACAAACGCAGATAATGCTGAATACACACGGATTTGATAGCTCAGATTTCGACGGTGAGCTGTGAACACTTTTACTGATTGGCTTAGCTAACCTTTCTTAAAATAAGGTAGGGCATATCAGAAAGCCTAACAAATTAGAAATGTAATAAACAATTTCATAAGAGTCTTCATAGCCTAATCGATAAAATTAACAATAGGCTATTTCATTAGGTTCAAATCTATTATGGACATTGGCCAAATTTCGATCAACATATTAGACTAATATAGGTATTCAAATCCAGTTTGATCAAGAAGATACATAGATATAAATAGCATACTTCAAAAATATTTGCATGCATAATTTACGATGTTTTTGATAATGAAAACTGTTTACAAAAGAGCGGAATACTCCTTAAACTTGCTGTTTAGCTTTAGGCTAATGAAAATGTTGCCAGCAAGAAATTGTTTTAAATAAATTTTGTTATTCAATTAACACTTTTCGAACCACTATAACCTCAAGGAGTTAAGGCCTATACCGAATTTGATGAGTTTTTCATTGAAATAATTGAATTGGTACTTTTTGAGGGCTGTGGAAAATATGCCATATTTTATTGGGAAAATTATCGGAAATAGAAGAAACGATTCGTGTCCACAACCGTACCTCTTACGTTCACTATTTACGTTTTTAACGAATATTCCACAAAGTATACGCACCGGACACCGTAGCCTACCTCGTCTATTTGTCTCGAAATTTGATGTTCGATTCCCCTTGAGGCTAACCAAAATTAATGTGATATTTAGGCTGTTATCTCTTCCCAATTCTTAAAATGATTGTAAAGAGGTTTTCGTAACGTTTTAAGTGTATCGGGGACACTAATAGCATCGATTTGCATCATTCCAATTTGTAATCAGACGTCTGTGGTCTACGTCTACATTTCTAGTAAACTAAGCGTTTGATGACGTCATGCACCAATCGCCAAATCTGCCTTTGCAAAAGTGACGCCATAAAACGCTTGGTTTTAAATTCATTGCAAGAAGCACGGACGTTTGATTAAAAATATCTATCAGTGTCCCCAAATACATTTATTTCTTTTACAAAACCTCTTTACAAATCCTCCAAGTGCAGTCGATTCCTTCGATGACACCCATCGCTAATAACCGTAGTAACAACAAACTTTAATTTTGAAATTTATATGGATTGGTCTTGTCACTTTTCTTCTTCCTTAATAAGTAGCCTACGTTATTTCCCTTAGCACACAATGTCATTTATTTTATGGTTATCGCCCTTTAAGCATTTATTTTGAAAAATGTTTGTGGAAACCCATACTAATTGAGGCATATTTGACATAATAAAAAACAAGTTTCACAATATTCTTTGTGACATTTATGTATTACTCATTTTTTCAACGACAACAAAAACATATCATTTTTTGCCAATGTCAATTTGAAAACTTAGTTAGTTTCAAAATGCAATTTCTGACATTTACTTCTTACTATAGAATAAATGTCAGAAAGTGAAATTGGCATATGTTAAACATTACCCGGGATCCATCTTTAAATCTCATGTCGTTGAGCGCTTACAACGTGGATTCCGTTCTGACTTCAGATTTCTACCAATTTACAAATAGGATTTGTGTCCTACTTTTCTTCCAGAAACGGGCTAAGCCAATCAGTAGGCTAATAGTGTTCACTAACTCACCGTCGAAATTTGAAGCGTTTGAAAGTCAAAAAGATGAATCTGAAATCTCCACCAGTTCGAGCTATTAAGAACTGCGTCTAATACCTTGACTGCAATAGCCACCTTTCTTTCTCGTAGTTTGTAAATTCAGCGATTTGATTGATGTTTACATTCTTTCTGTCGAGGATTATTATTGGAAGCATTCGTTAGTGTACAATCCAATCAAATCGCCGTGATAACAAACTTCCGCGTTACAAGTTGACTATTGCAGTCAAGGTATAAGACACAGTTCGTAATAGCTAGACATTGTAAAGTTGAGTCCAGATGTGCACAAATTTATCATAATGTCAAAAGAAAGCAATGTAATTTGACATAACTTTCTTATTTCAGAAACAATGCCTCGTTTATTTCACAAAGACATAAAGTATGACACTATTATTATAGACCTAGATTAAATTCAAACTTGTGATAAATGCAGCAAAATTTAGCCACGTGATACATTTCTACATTTTTTAATTTAAAAGTTTAACATGACATACTTGGAAATATACGTCGTATTAAATCAAAGATATTATACATTTTTACTTTACTCCAAATAAAACAACATCTCTTTTGTTCACGTCACTAAGCTCATTTGCATATCACCTGGAAGTGGTTTGTACATATAAAACCGTAACACAATTTGCGGGCTCATTTTGATTTTTTGAGTATCATATTATAGTTTACATATAATCAACATTATTAAATCACATATTGGATTATTCTTATCTACTTTGTACAAAATGAAGGTTTCCTTTTCGGTAACTATTCTGTTTTCGGTTTTTAACGGAGCTTTTTCAGGTAAGTGAAATTTCTTCATTATTTTTTACCGAATTTCAGTTTCCATTAATTGGGCACTCCACCCAAAAATTATTATCCAAAATACATCTAGATAATTTTTCAATGTGAGTACTATTTCATAACATTTCAGTTCATCATTCACTGAAAATCTTTCCTTTTTTTCGATGTATTTTGATTTGCACAACTTGAAGAGATTGTAAAGGATTTTTAAAAATTTTTTAACGACGACACTGATAGCATCAATTTGCACCATTTCATTTCCATTCAGGCATCTGTGGTTCCTGCAATTCCACAAAAAATAAATGTTTAATGACGTCACTAATCTCAAACTATGTTTGTATCATATATGGCCCTTCGCGATCAGTGTCCCTGATGCACAAAAAAAGAAATTAGAAAACCTCTTTACAATTTAACTGTAGCCCTTCTCTACATCCCCACCCTAATTCTGTTATGACTGTGTGTGGTTTTTAGTTAAACTTTAACAAACATTAATACGCCCTTTGACTGCAAACATTTCTAAATCCATGCATGGGTGATATTGAAGGTTTACCAGCTGATCATCTTGTTTTGATTTTATTTTCATGTTTAATCAAAGTAGTTTTGGAACAGTTTATGCTAACTATAGATCAAAGTCAAGAGAAATGTGTCTCATATTTAATTCTAACCAAAAATATCTAGCTGTTTAGGACACCAAAACTTACCTAAACCTTTTGAATTCGCTATGTTATTGGTTGATGTTGGAAAATCAAAATAAACGTCAAAATTGGGCACTGGGCCATGCCCCAACCTTCGGGCATGTAACATTTTATTTTGAAGTGAAAATTAAGCCATCTAAATGCTATAAATTCATCTGAGGCCGCCCAAAATCCGCTGGCAGCCAGGAAAACCCCGGCCTTCGCCTCTCATTTTTAACCGAACACTGATTTTAAACCAGTAATATTTCTTCTTAACGTCAAATATCAACCAAGGCTTCAATAATTATATATTTCAGAATCCTTATGTAGTCAAATGGGAGGTAAATGCCATTCGTACTATGACGTCTGTTGGACAAGAAAATATAGTTACGGTCATCATTTATGTACTAGATATGGTGAACCGCCAGTTTGCTGTTTCTATGGTAAGATTTTTAAATGAATCTTGATATAGGGATGTTTAAGGATGATATAATTCTAACCACTTAATGAACTGAGGTGCCATACAGTAGTAAACTGTAGTTTCAATTATTGGAATTAAAATTTGCAAATCAACAAAAACGTTCTTCTGTGTATAGACTGTCGTCACATCGATATAGACATTTTAGCAATTAATATTACCCATATCATGACATCACATAAAGGAAAGTTTAGACCCTCGTCACGACATCACTTTCAAAATTCTTCCTTGATTCGTTTTTGTTTGAACTCACATAAATCCACAACTATTTCCCATTTTTTCTGTTTTCAGATTATTTTGAAAATGACTGTATAAGAAGAGGTGGTACTTGTTTTGATATACGATTTTCATCTTGTACAAATGGTCGACTGGTCAATGATGGCTGCGGCGGAGAATACAATTATTGCTGTACACCGAATCATTATAGACCTTACCCATACACCCAGCGATCAACTTACAACGGGCAATATTTTAACTCACAGGCGAAATCATACCCTTACAATCGAGCCCATTTATATCATCGTCATACTTCATTTAACCGTAAACCTTCATATGGTAACACACCCGCCTCTAGGACTACCTATACTGGTTGATTCTGATTCGTCTGGATCTTGTTTCACAAATATGTTTTTAGAAGTTTTCGGGAGGGGATTTGATACTTGATATTTTCTAAAAATATTTGATAATATAATATATTCTAAGAATATTTGAGAAGATCTTAGAAAATGGTTGATAACACGTGATATATTCTAAGAATAATCGATATATTCTAAGAATATTTTATATATTTTTAGAAAATTTTGGAAAATCTTTAAAAATAGTTAATTTTTAAGAAAATCCTAGAATATGTGAAAAAATTCTTTTGAAAATTTCTTACTATATTTGAGAAATCTTTAGAATATTTGCGAAATTCCAAGCTTTTACAGTATGTTACTAAAATAGTGAATTATGTTATCGTTATTTTTTTTTAGAATATGTGCGAAATTATAAAATTATTTGCGAAATTCAAAGAACATTTTTCTAAATTACACAATTTGAGAAAATCATAGATTATTTGCAAAATTCTAAGAATATTTTACAGTATTTTACTGAAGGAGCGGATATAGGTCTTGTTACATTTTGGGAATGTCTACTCTGTCTGCGAAGCGGGTCATGCAAGTTAGGTGATGTTTCACGTTCTAAACTTTTAGAAAGCATGGTCATGGTTTTGTTATATTTTCATGTTACTATGCTAATGATTATACTATTATTTATATAATATAATGTTATATCATTCTTATTTGAAATCCATTCATTATTTTGTACATATTTACATATAACACAAGCGCCTTGTTAATTGATTGATATAGGGGAATGGATTTTCTGTCGGGAAAAATCAAACTGTTGGGGAAAATAATTTTGTAGGAGGTTCAAAAAAGACGTCATGAACTTCGTCATCATGCAGTATCTCTAACACGCCGCCATCTTTAGATTGGATTGGACTCCAGGCAAGATGGTCGCGCCCTAACGTCGACGGCGTTCAGTTCAAATTTAGTCTTCGTAAAAAGAAATCTAAGAGTATGTTGTACTCAAATGACATCGTTAAAGCCTCAGGAGTTGCGAGGTGAGCACGTCCCGAGTACGAATCGCGAAAAAAAATCTCGAGTTTGGCCCCAAATTAGGGTTTTATTGTGTTTATTACGAATATATAACGAGTGCTCAGCGATCATTACGAGCATATTAAGAGTATATTACGAATGTATCCCGAGTAGCCAAGTTTCAGCCGAGTTGACCAGGAGTGCCTTCCGAGGGTAATAGGATGTTCCCGATTTGTATTCAAATCGTACTCGGTACGTGCTCGTCTCGCAACTCTTGGTGGGAGAGGAACTTTAGGCTGGTTTGTTGAAAGATTTTACTGGGATTTATCGTTTTATGACGGTAAGTTTTTGCTTCAATACATTCTCAATCCCCTGTGTATCATACCCAGTAATAACCCTTAACCCTCCTCGTCCATGACCATATTTGTCAAGTCTTAGTGGTCTGCAAATCATGTGATGTCATATCATTATGTGTAGTTCTCAACTCACGTTGATCACCATTTATTCCCATCAATGGTCAAAATTAGCAGCTGCACCGTACTTAAGTGTGTAAAAATCGAACGTTCGTTCAGCCAACTAAAACTTCAAACGCTTGAAGACTTGATGCTGCTCTTCTGCGATCTAGATCTGACAGACACTATCGAAATAGATGCCGTAGCCGAGAAATGGACTCAACTCCGCCGTAGGAGGATAAGTTTTTGAAAGAAAAACTTTAAACCTATCGGCATCTTAATACAATTTTGGGTTTCACTGTATTGAAGGCAAAAATCGTATTACGGTGACGATAACTTGCCGTATGTTATTACACATTGTTAGAATATTTCATTTTTTTCAGAAAAAAATAATGTTTTGATTCTTGTTATTCTTTTTATGAAATCGTCAATATATGGGACCATATACATCGTCGGGAAAAGAAATTGTTTCACCAATTAATATATTTTAATTCAAATAATTTAAAAGTGTTAAGAAACTTTGAGAGTAAAAACTTAGCCTATCTGTTTAAGACAGATTTGGAAAGAAATTGGTAGACGAGTTCCATTATTGTACACCAGTGGTCCGTGGGTGGAAACAACACATTCTATATGGTGAGTAGTATGTCGTTGGTTTACAGGTACTCAGTTAGTGGCTTACTAGCGGGTTTCAGTTCAGTGCATTGAATGCGGACATGCAACCTTGTGGCGATGTGGTCGCAGCGAAATTTGATGGCCTTGTACTGATGGTCTCATAGTAGGTTGTTGGTCCGGAGTCTAGTTACTAGTTTACAGATGGATGGTTTGGATTAGTTTGGTTTGGTATTTCCGTTCAATCTGGTATCTAGAAGTGTTGAGCTTCTGTAGCATATCAGTCCATTTCTGGTTGATCTTACAAGATACGATACTGCGGAATTCCGAATAGGAGTATTCTACATGCGAATGGTGGTTGTTGTTGGTTTGGTAGTTTTAATCTTTAGTTTTAATTTCATAAGTATTTGCAATGTGAAAGCATCAAATTAACAAAAACTGCTAACAGAAAATTACATCGTGCTTATAGTTTCAATTTTATTTGCTCTTTCAAGCCATTTGCGATGTGAGAAAAAATTAACTGAAACTCGTGGTACAGTATCGTACTAAAGAGTATATTACCCGCCTCAATAGACTAACCATAAGTATCCCATCAATATAATGAATTCCACCTCTTTAACAAAATGACAAGAGGTATCTCCAGAGAAATTGAATACCAATAATGAATATGGAACTAATGATCTTACTATGTATTTTATTCACATGAATCTATCAAAGGTCAGATAGCTGATTAGTATGATGTTCTAGCAATCCCTTGTTCCATAACAGTAACACAATTCCTTGTTAATCCTCACGATATACTCTATTGTTAATGCATATATCATTTTTAATGGTGAGGTAATATGACAAATAAACCACGCAAAAATGTAAACTTGATGTATATATTTTATAGAGACGTTAAATAGGTTTATACGTCGAATAATTAAAACATGCAAAATACATTTCAATTTGAAAGGAATAAAAAAAAGAACCATAATAAAAACAACTATCCTGCTGTCTTTTAACTATGTCTTCCATTGCAACGATTTCGGAAGACTTCAAACGGCAACCACCTTTACCGTAGACATCAAATAAAAGAGATATTAAGCCGATTTCATATTTATGTTTCTAATTTTTATTTAAAAAAATTTTTTTTTTTCCTTTTTTGTCTAAATTTGGCATGAGGCATTTTCCTCGACCCTGGGTTCTGCATTTAAAACGGCATTCTGTTGTCTTTTTTGTAGGTCGAAATCTTTTTTTGTTCAAATCTATGATAACCCTTGACATATCTGAATGTTTCAACTAAAAGAATCCAAATGTTAATTATTTAACAGCAAAACTATTTAAAAAATTCATTCAACTTTTTTTTACATTAATTTGTGAAGGTATAAGTAAACAAGTGTACGGATTTTCGCTAAATAAACTCCTAATCGCAGAGAGTCTCCTACTCATTCCGAAGGTTTCAACTACAAAATATCGAGCCATTATAAAGCCAAACACCAACAAACTTCTCCGTTAAACATTATAAAACAAATTCAGTTTGATCAAATATATATACATAGATGTAAATAGTATTATTTTTTAGAAATATTTTCAGGTATAATTTACGACGTCTTTGATAATGTAAACTGTTCATACTGTCCCTTTAATCGAAACAACCCGTTATAAGTTATACATTTAGGTTGCCCATAAAATCTGACCCTACACGTTCCTCGGACGTGATGTACGGATGGAATGGGCGGGCTACATTTTAATCAGGCTGAACTAAAATATGCTGTACACGTCAATCGTATCCGGATGGGACATCGATGAGTGAAGATAGGATAATATGTAATAATCTATATATTTCCCTGATCACTCCCCTCCATGAATATTTACAATTACCATAACAATGGTAATAGAATATTAAATGAGGTATACAACGGGATTGTAAAGAGGTTTTCTAATTGTTTCATGCGTATCGGGAACACTGATAGAAAATCAATTTGTAACTTGCAATTTGCTTCAATTGTTTGATGACTAATAGCTAAGAGCATATTTTGCGATTAATAACGTTATTAAACTTGGGTTTCCTTATTTTATAGTGTCAAATTGAGCAAACTATTTGATTAATTGGTGTTTGTAATGAATTATCATGTATTCTTAATCATATACATGTAGTTATGTTCTTATTGCATGTAATTAAGAGTTTTAACCAATCATAAATGTCCATGTATGTACAGCCTGGATAAACAAAACAAAAAAAGGCTATTTGACCTTTTTTGATGGGTCACTCTTTGCTATTCTACTGGTAATTCGCTTCTAATTTAGCTAGTTATGAAGTAAGTAGGGACATGTGAGACAAACTGGTATTTTTCCAGTCACCTCTACTTTCTATATTCATATTAGTATTAGCATTTTCATTTTCATAAAAGAAAATAAGGGAATCCATCTTTAAACAAATATTTTTTGTGGAATTGCAGGAACCACATACATTTGACCGAAAATTGGAATGGTTCAAAGTGATGTTATCAGTGTCCCCTCGATACACATAAAAATTCAGAAAAACCTCTTTACCATCCCTTTAAAGGGTAAAGTTAAACAGTTAAAATTGGCTTGACTACTAGTATTAATATAGCTTTATAGAATACATACAGACATGTAGATTATGTATATACCATAAGGCCAATTTCCTTTCATAAAAAGCGTAATTTACATGAAAATCTCATTCATTCTGATTTTGATTGCCGTTTTCCGTTTTAGTTTAAAAAGCGCGGACCTCAGAGAAAGCAAATAATTATTTAACTACCGTTCTGACTAAGATAAATAGCCTTTGTGCCATAAACAACTCTCTATAGCCTTTGTAGATGTAAAAAATATAGAATTTCTGACCAATTTCATTCGGTTACTATAAACATTTTTCCTAAATCTGGATTTCCCTCGATAATGATTTGAGTCATTCCTGGCAAAACGTTTGGAACATCTCTTGAATATACGAGTAGTCAGTGTTCTGTACAATTTCTGATCACCTATTGAATTCCTAATGCATTATAGAAGTCTTTCGTGTTCATGGAAATAACATTAATAAAAAAAGCAACGCACACTGAAGAGAAAGCATGTAAAATGCAGTGCTGTTATCAAGAACGACAGGCCCATTTTTTTTTTAGATTTAGGCTACATTATTATTGCTGGAACATACGCTAAAACTCGCCTGACTTTTCTTTTTAACTCTTTTCTTACGATTTCCAATATTCTTACACTCACAATAAAAGATTGGCTTTAAAAGAAATAAAAAATCAAGACGTCAATTTGATAGTCGGCTCAATGATTTTGTCTGCCTTTGCTACTTTGTCTACTAAATTCTAATGAAATCCGTACCCAGATGACGTATTACAGCTTAGCATTGACATAATGAGACACATGTGGTCTGTAACGATCTGCTTCGTGTTTATTATCGAGTCAAATTCTGTAGTCTTTTCAAATATAGTGACGAAACGTTAATACTTTAGAGTAACAGGTCTGATGAAGTGCCACCGAACGCTAAACTCATACTGTGTTCAATTATATAACAAAGTAGGTAACAAACTTAATAGCTGTTACATCCAGGAACATTTTCTAGTGTAAAATGGGATATTTTTGAATGTAGAATGACGTGGTATATACTTACCTACATACTTACTTAAATGA